GTATAGTACTACCCCCCAACTTTATGGATGATTTTATGGATTAAATTTTACATATTATACTTGAATAAATACGGTATATCTTCAAATTGTTTTGACTTTTACTACCTTAATAGTGTTGTTTAAAGAAACATTTCTATTGTGTGGGACTTTATGTCTACTTGGATTATATTCTGTATATATTAGTAAATGTATGGGACCACAGAGCAATACACAACGTTTAACACACACCCACACATCAATGACTGGGACAGCACCTGTGTAACACCCTTGTTTGTTGCTGCACTGCAGATGGACACAACAGAGCTGGGTCATAGAAGGAGCACCTCAGCTTTAGCATTTTAGCTTTGACATTAGCTCCAGAGCTAATTTACTAAACATCACGTTTAATTGTTTCAACACATACATCATGCAGGACATAGAAACTAAAACAAAATGTAACTATTTACACACAGTATAAGCTCTTTGATCTTGATACTTTGTGTTTTAGTCTCAACTGTAACCCATCATGGCAGCATGATGGCTCAGTGGTCAGCACCGACGCCTCACAGCAAGAAGGTCCTGGGTTTGATCCCTGGTTAGGACCTGGGGTCTTTCTGTGTGGAGTTTGCCTGTTGCCTTTGTGCTTGCGTGGGTTTTCTCTGGGTACTCTGGTTTCCCCCACCCCCCAAAACATGTACAACATGTTGCCTTCAGGCCCAGGCCTCCCATGAAAAAGAGATCTAAGATCTCAATGGGACTTGCCTGGTAAAATAACGGTAAATAAAAATAATAATCATCAGAATTGTTAAAACAAAATGGCAACATAAGTGAAAAATGTAATAAACATTTATAAAAGTATTAGGTAATTAGGAGTTTTCATGTGTCACAAAAACTTTTAGTAGAACAGAGAAATAACATACAGTACTAGGACCACAATTTTCTATTTAATTTATTTCAAAGTTTAGTCTTTTTAAATCTTGTCATGACGAGAACAATGCTGGTCCTTTACCTTTTCCTCACACACGAGGTTATTGAACAATCGGCAGCTCCAGCTATATTTTATGACCATGTCCAACAAACACTTGGACACACCCTTTGCCAACATTAGCAGAACATTGTGTGTGGTACAAAGGGACTCAGGGCTAAACTTGGAGCTATTATCCCTTTATATAAGATTAGCATGCTTACCTGTAGCAACTTTCCCACACACAGGCTCACACACAGTCCTGTATGAGGTAGTGGTTACGCGGACAGGCTAATCCTGTAAATGGTCACCGGTGTAAAGAGCAAAGGAGTCAGTCTCACATCAGCCATGAGAGGTTCAGAAACTCTTCTGTTGTGATGCGTTGGGTCATCCAGAGGCAACATGAGAGACAAACACCGGAGTCCAACCTTCAGGAGGGTGCACATAGGACAACTGTGCCCAATGGTGGGGGTTGTGTGTATTTAGTTACATTGTGTGTTTTTGTTTTTGTTTCTGTTTGTTTGTGTGTGTCTGTGTTTTGTTATCATTTCAGGACCACTTCTGTTATACACGCCTGCCTTGTCAGGACCAGTCGTCCTGTTGGGGACCATTTTTGCGATCGGGGTTAGACAACAGGAGTGAATGGAAGTTTATACATGGTTCTAATAAGGATAGAATTACAAACGTGTGTGTGTGTGTGTGTGAGAGAGAAACCTACACTGGCTGGAAAATCAACATGTGTTTACTTCTAACAGGCAGAAGCTAAAAGGGGACCTATTATGCAAAATTCACTTTTTAAAGATTTTTTTTAACTCAACTTTGGGTATGTACTTCTTAAAAAAACAGTCCTAGGACCAAAAAAAATGCACCCATATTATAGCATATTTACTGTAAGTAAATGTATTTTTAATGTGTATTACAGTAACGACAAGTTTTATACTTCTGTCATTTTGTGATGTCACAAGCCGTACGACAACCCACCTGAACCTGCGTTCAGCCCCTTACCTAGCAACCTCCGGGTGAAGCTCCTCCTCCTCAGTATAAAAAGCTGTCACAGTTGTTGTTGTGTAATGTGCAGCTCATTTCACAACAAGCCTCCAATAGGGCAATGGGTAGAGTGTTGGACCAGAGAGTGGGAGACCAGGGTTTGAGACCAGCAAAGACACAATTTAATTATTTATTTATTTTCGTTATGAACACGTTTTCTCATGTCCCTCTATTGTTTAGCTTATTAAAGCCTTGTTAAAGCC